CCAATACCCCCATGCCCAATACCCCCATACCCAATACTCCATACCCAATACCCCCATACCCAATACCCCCATACCCAATACTCCATACCCAATACCCCATACCCAATACCCCCATACCCAATACTCCATATCCAAAACCCCCATATGCAATACTCCATACCCAATACCCCCTACCCAATACTCCATACCCAATACTCCATACCCAATACCCCCATACCCAATACTCCATACCCAATACCCCCATACCCAATACTCCATACCCAATACCCCCATACTAAATACCCCGATACTCAATACCCCATACCCAATACCCCCATACCCAATACTCCATACCCAATGCTCAATACCCAATACCTCCATACCCAATACCCCATACCCAATACCCTCATACCCAATGCCCCCATACTCAATACTCCATACCCAATACTCCCATACCCAATACCCTATACCCAATACCCCCATACCCAATACTCCATACCCAATACCCCCATACCCAATACCCCCATACCCAATACCTCATACCCAATACCCGCATACCCAATACTCCATACCCAATACCCCCATACCCAATACTCCATACCCAATACCCCCATACCCAATACCCCCATACCCAATACCTCATACCCAATACCCCATACCCAATACCCCCAAACCCAATACCTCATACCCAATACCCGCATACCCAATACTCCATACCCAATACCCCCATACCCAATACCCCCTTACCCAATACTCCATACCCAATCCATACCCAATACCCCCATACCCAACACTCCATACCCAATACCCCCTTACCCAATACCCCCATACCCAATACTCCATACCCAATCCATACCCAATACCCCCCATACCCAATACCCCATACCCAATACCCTATACCCAACACTCCATACCCAATACCCCATACCCCAATACCCCATACCCAATACCCCCATAGGCAAAACCATCAGATAGCATCTTGGTTCACTTACTAGCAATGGTGGAAGTTACAAATCAAGGCAAAGTTTTTGTTTTAAGAGGACTTTATCGATTTTGGTTTAATGACCAATCACTTGTATTATTTCTCTTTGGTGGAAGATAATAACTGGACACAACATTGCTTTTAAGTGGACTGAGATGCTATCTGGGGGTTTTGGGTATGTGGAGGCATGTGACCTCCTCCCATGGGACAGTGCTTGGGTCTAGCAGCCAATCACTTAGACTCAGCACTGTCACATGATCATGGGAGTGATGTCACTGCTCCCCTTAGCGTCCAACAGCAGCCTACTCTGGGGATTTTAGTACTGGTTGTGACTTGCAAGGTGAGTATCAGTTGCTCAAACCCTTTATTAAGACACGAACGGACAAGGCCACCCCAAAGCTTTCCACATACCTAGCAATTTGGCAAACTTTCAATTCTGTGTTTTTTGTAGAAACTGCAAAGTGAAAGAAAAGATAAAATGACGGCTTGGATCGCCTGCAAGGAGGAAGGGTTCAAGTTGGATCTGACGAAATTGTCCTCGTTGAGTTCAATCGATTGCTTTGATCTTTCAATGGAAAACATCTATTTAATCTGTCGTTTTATGACTCCTTGTCAACTGACCAAATTCTGGCGTCGGATCCATCTTGCAGGCGGTAGATTGCTCAGTTTCTGGCGATTGCTTGCAGTGATATTTATCATTTTTGGTGGCTGGAAAGTGGTGGAAACTGACTACAAAAATGACCATGTGAATGGCCGGCTTGTGGGAGGGTGCAGTGTGGTGGGGCGGCAGTAACTCTCACACATGTAGTCGAAGAATATGAAGGTGGAAGGCAGCCTGATTGGGAACCAGGGGTGGACTGACAACTCATGGGGCCCCTGGGCAATAGGGGATCATGGGGCCCCTGTGTCCTCACCCAAACTCAAACCACACCCCAAAAAGTCTATGAAAGGTACTAGGGGCATCTCATGGGGCCCCCTACTGACCCCGGGCCCCTGGGCGGTGCCCATGTGCCTGAATGGTCAGTCCACCCCTGTTGGGAACACTCACAGGTGAACAGCAGATCGTAGAGGAGAAGGTCTCAGCTGAACTGATGGCATCTGTCTTGAGTGGTGGAATGCAGCTTGGCCCATGCGGGGAGGTATCCAGAAGTGGTGAGTCCCTAGACTTTCCCTACTCGTCTGAAACCTTTCCCTGCCGCTAATACTGTCCCTGACAGACAAGTGACCTGTCCCTAAATGAGTGCCAGACCCCTTGTTAGCCTGGGTCTAAAATAGACTCTGCCTGACCCAAGATGGCCGCCAGAGTCACATGGGCTGTCAGCATCCAACCAGATTACTGCTCCAGTGATCTCGGAAACTATACAGGAACTACAGCACATTGCCCTTGACTTCCTCTTCTTCTGCACTGCCACTGTGGTTGAGCGCCACCTGCAGTGGAGAAAACAGACTACACCTGCCTACAGGCTTAAAACGAAACTCTCCCAATCGACTTTGTCAGTTTAATTTTTTTTTTTTTTTACATTTCTTCAGTTATTTCCTGGTTTCTGGCCTAGGCCAAAAGGATGTCCTACGTCCAAGGAGTCTTCAGGAGAGGGAGGGGCTTTCTCAGCTAAGCACACCCTCCTGCCTGCATGCCTGATGCTACATGAAATATCTGCCCTTACTCAAGATGGCCGAGGCTAGAAATAAGCGTGGAGACATGGATGGAAGAGTTTTTCTTTCAATACTAAAAATGACGTTTTCAGTTTGTGGAGCTCAGATACAGCCAAAGCTCCACCGTAATTCTTCCATCCGACGCGTTTCGGCCTCTTGAGAACATTGGTGTGACGGAACACATCAGGATGTAACCGGAAGTGACGTCATCACGCACATTAGTGATGTTTTTGTATTCATTTGTGTTGTTGATTTAAAAAAATCAAGCAGATCAGCTCTGTATAGCACCGGCAAAACACACTCTGGAGCATTTCAAGGGCTCCTTTCCTTTCTGGGTGGAGTCGCCCACTGAAGTGAATCATAATAGCATGAAGAAAGTGAATCCCCCTCCTGTATAGGTGCTAGGTTTAGATACAAGATGGCATCAAAAGGTTTTGAGGCTAGTTTTTGTAACATGCCAACAGATGGCAGCAGAAGGCTGCACACACAGTCACAGGGAGCACCGACCTTCATAAGTCAGTGTGCCAAAAGACATCTTCCCGTGTACATCGGGAGCTGTGCAACTGGTGCTTTTCTGACCACATACATCACCACATCTGTCATCTCATCATGGACAGCGAGTTAGAACAAACCCACATAAAAGAAAAATGTATTTCAAATATCTTTTAAAAACATTCTTCCCAAATATATTGACATATATTTTAAGTACTACAATTGTGGCCGTATTCAATGTATATATATATATATATATATATATATATATATAAATAATAAATTATTATTATTATTATTATTATTAATAATAATAAATAATAATAATAATACTAAAATTAAATAAATAAATAAATGTATATATAATTTATATACTGTATGTTGAAATGCTTTTTTATTTCAAAATATATGAACATTTTTTTAAAAATACATTTGCAGTTGTAGGATCTACAGCACTGCTGCCTCTGACTGCTGGTCTCACAGATTTGGGGTGAGATTTGGTGGTGTCACTACTGTGCCGCTCACTGTTCTCCTTGCTGGAGGCTCTGACACGAGGAAGAAAAGCCCTGCCCTCTACCAAGATGGCCGCCTCCAGGCAGAGACACGGTGCAGAACTAGACATGGTAAGTCAGTAATGGGAAAGAAGATCAGCCACAGGGACACCACAGGAAATATCAATGACTTTCATTATAATAGTCACTGGTGATCCTTCCATGAAGCTTCTTGTTTGGGCACTTCCTGTTATAGAGTGACAACGCTCTGTCCCTGTCTCCCAGTTGTGCTCCTGCGTTGTCACCCTTTTCGCACAGGCTTCCAATAGAGAGAAATAGCCATGCAGCCATCACTGGAGTGCATGAAGATAAGAAGACGGCTGCAAAGAGGCTGCAGGAGATCAGCATCACCGAGATCCCACATAGGATGAAACCAGGGGTGGACTGGCAACTTATGGGGCCCCCGGGCAATAGGGGATCATGGGGCCCCTGTGTCCTTGCCCACACTCAAACCACACCCAAAAAAGCCTATGAAAGGTACCAGGGGCATCTCATGGGGCCCCCTACAGACCCTGGACCCTCCCCCCCCCCCCCCCCCCCCCCCCCCCCCCCCCCCCCCCCCCCCCCCCCCCCCCCCCCCCCCCCCCCCCCCCCCCCCCCCCCCCCCCCCCCCCCCCCCCCCCCCCCCCCCCCCCCCCCCCCCCCCCCCCCCCCCCCCCCCCCAGGAAGTGCCTGAGTGCTAAGTCCGCCCCTGGACAAAACAAAGGATTTTATCCACAAATAAAAAATGACGGTTGTGTAGGAGACACGGTGCAAACAAAATGAACCTTGGCCCCCAGGCCTAGGGCCAAATGTTATACCGAAAAGTCTGAAGCTGAAAACTCTTCTACTTTTCTTCATCAGCTCTTGTCGATCGTTCTATACCGCACAGGACGAGTCGGAGGAAAGGAAGGACCCCTTCTTCCTGTACAATGGAATATTCCGGAAAGCAAACTTTATTCCTGCTCCAACCTTCTGTATACATACTGAATGGGAGGAGGTAAGTGAACTGCCTTGCCTGGATATTAATACAACAGCGCCACCCACTGAACGGATGATGAACAGAGAGCTGCATGACGTCCATGGAGGATGGAGAGGATGGAGAGGACAGGTGACAGTCATAGAAGGCCGGCCCCGCCCTCCAAACCAACCGTGGTGGGTGACTATAGGGCCGGCTTCATCGAGGAACCACGAAATAATGTCCAGGTCTTAGGGGACCCTGACTCACGATCGTTGTATCTCTGGCTCAGGTCATGGTGACGTCATTGGTAGATGGGAAAATATCAGAGCCAATAAAAGAATAAAGAATGAGATTCCTTCGTTTTAGTATTCTTCACAAATCACTAATCACTGACCAGGATTGTAATGATCCTTACATTAGGGGGTCAGTGGAAGTGTATCCCTTTATACTGGGGTCAACGAGTGAAGGCCCCCCTTACACTGGGGGTCAGTGGGAAGAATGTCCCTTACATTGGGGGGTCAGTGGAAGAATGTCCCTTACATTGGTGGTCAGTGAGAAGAATGTCCCTTACATTGGGGTCAGTGAGAAGAATGTCCCTTACATTGGGGGTCAGTGGGAAGAATGCTCCTTACATTGGGGGTCAGTGGGAGGAATGTCCCTTACACTGGGGCAGTGGGAAGAATGTCCCTTACATTGGTTGTCAGTGGGAAGAATGGGCCCTTACATTGGAGGTCAGTGGAAAGAATGTCCCTTATTGGGGGGTCAGTAGGGAAGGAGAGTGAAAT